AAATTTACACTTAATCTATTAATAAAGTTTATTGGAGCAAGACTCCGTTGGATATAAAAAAAAAAAAAAAAAAAAAATTAAATATTCGGTGACACGGTAATAAATACACTACCTTTGAAAAACCCTAACCCCTGCGGTATAGGTTATGGTATTCAACACCACTGGTGTGATATATAGTTTTCTCTTCCTTTCAATAAATAATAATAATGTTATTATTATTATCATTATTTCAGTTCAAATTTATCATTAATTTCGTTTTGAAATATTCTTGTAAATATTCAATAATAAAGACTATCTTATGTTACGCGTTCATTTTTCTTTTGACAACTTCTACTGTAGCTTCCGATAGAGGAAATATTGTTACAGTTCCAGTCAAAAATCATTTCTACTAAAATGCATATTACTAATAATTAACAACAATAACAAAAGTTTTAATAAAAAGATTATTTTAACGCATCATTGATTAAATTGCAATAAATAATAATACAAAACTTCTAATAATAATATTTCTACAAATTCCACAAAAAAAAATGGCATAAAGAAAATCAAAACAACCATTGGATTCCCTATTAATAATGATAATAACAATAAAAGTATCGGTCGAGTAAATCAACCGAAAAAAAACAACTTTATTATTAGTTGTGGTGGAACAATAAAGAGAGTGAGAATGCAAACATTTTTACACGAAAGAATTTGCTAAACTTATGAGCCATTTATGCGGAATAAAATAAAATATATAACATATGAAAAGAATACAAGTTTTAATATAATAAATACGAAAGAATATCCGAAAATTTTAAAATAATAATAGAAAAAATGATCCTGATTGTAATTAATAAAAATAGTAATCCGTATGTATCGTTATACATGCATCAGAGTAGTTACACACAGAATTATAAATATCATAGTAAATGTGATACGATTATTTTTTTATTTCCTATTTCTTTGTCAAAAAATGGCAACTAAAATTCCCACAGAAATTTTAATTAAAATTTTAAATAATTGTCAATCAACTCGAGATTTATATTCATCATTATTAGTTAATCGAATTTGGTGTAAAGTTACTATACCTATACTTTGGGAATTACCTTTGGGTCAAGAATGTTGGGGTGATGATAAAACACTGAGGAAGAAAGCATTATGTATTCGAACTTATATATCATGTATGGATACTCATGCTAGAACATTACTTATTCAAAATGAATTTGATTTATCATCATCGTCGCATCAAGCTACTTTTGATTATCCATCATTTGCTCATAAATTTATAATTGGTAATTTAGTCAATTTTATTTCCATATATTTACAACAAATTGTTAGTTCAGATCAAGATAATTATAAGAATACTATCACCAAACCGAGAATATTATTTCTTGAGATATTCAAATTAATAATAAATCGTTGTAAATTTGTGAATTCTTTTGAAATGACGGGAGTTCACATAAAAAATCATTTTCATTATATCGATTTAATTGGTTCAATTCTCGAGTTGCCTGGTGCTCCCAAAGTATTTGAGAAATTAGAAACATTTGTTTCGGCGACGATACATGATGAACGGATGAGACCATTATATGAGTCATTAACATTAATTTGTGATAATATTTTAAATATGAATTTGTCTTTCGATTTACCTTTTCAAGAGCAATTTTTTGCAAAATTTATTAGTGTTCAAAAACGTTTAGAAAATCTATCAATTGATGCTAATTATTATCAAGATTGTAATTCATTATTATTAGCTATCGTCAATCATAAAGAAACATTAAAAAGTCTTCATTTAAAATCAGTAAATTTTTTTCATTTCGAGGGAAAATCATTCGGACAAATTATTTCACTTCAAGAACTTTATATTGAAAATTGTTATAGATTGCAAAAATCAGATAGTTTATTCTTTGCTTCATCATTTACTCAATTAAGTAGTTTTTATTTTCATACATTTCAGGAATATCCTCAAGAATTTATTATAAAAATTTTCGAAACAGCCAATACAAAATTAAGAAAGATTTATCTTAATTCCTATACTACAGATATATTTTTAGCAATTTTAAATTATTGTACAAATATTATCCGATTAACTCTACATAATAAACGTTCTGGACATGTAATACCAAGATTTAATAATAATTTTAGTGAACTAAGAAGATTTTCATTTGAATCTGGAGTAGGAATTAATGCTAATGAATTATTATGTCAGATGGCTTTGCCCGAATCACTTGAAATCATCAAAATTCGGATGGGAATATTTAATGCAGATAGTTTAAGAAAATTTTTTGAAGGGTGGTGTTGTAAAGGAGAAGGAAGAAATAAAAAGTTTATTGTAAAACGTACAGAACAAGCACGACTATTTAAATTAAGTGATGAACATTTTAAAGTTATTGAAGAATATGGAGTTCAATTTAATATGGAAGAATTATATTCCAAATAATATTTCTAATAATATTTTTAATATAATATCAAATCAGAAAATATATTTAGTTATAGTATTTACATACTGAGTCATGTGTTGCATTTCATAAAAATATTTATTATTTGTCATGTTTCTGAATATAATATTAAAAAAAATATTAATAATCCTATTTACTAAAAATCAATAGAATATTAAATTTATGTAATTAATATAATAATTTTTTATCATTAAAAATGGTATCAACATTAAATCAATTAATAATTGTTATCTTTAATTATTTTAAATAATTATGCATAGTAGTTAAGTAATATATTTATAATTAGAGGACAGCTGTGAAGCGTTTCGTTGTTTCATAGTTCATTGCTTCATTGTTTCTTACTCTCATAATTTAATTTTAGATTCGAATAAACTAACATAATTAACCAGAAACCGAGATGAGAGGCATTTTATTAGCGTTGTTTTTTTAGTTTGCCACTGTATATTTTACAATTTGGAAATATCTTAAGAATAAAAAAGGCATGATTTTTAGGCAATTCAAAATTAATGGTGTTTGTACAAGGCATTAATCATATTAATGGCATCTGGTTCAAGAATTGAATTATTAATTTGGAATAAACGTTTAGGAGAAGGAAAATTGGGATTTGAAGATGGCGATTATGATATTTATATCGTGAGACCAATTACTTTATTCTCTAATATCAATAGTTTTGTTTCATCGACGTATAATTGTAATTTAAAAAATTATATAGATTATTTATATTTATTTATTGATTTTTACAATTGCCAAAAATATTATTTTTAATTCATTATAGAAGATTAATTATTTTTATCTTTTAAATATTCCCTTATGTAAACTTATTATTTTTATAAATATTAATCATTATTTTTATAAATATTAATCGATTAGCATTATACGCATTGTTTTATTAAAATATTTTATTTATTGTACTTTAACGAATTTCTTTCTTATTTCTCTATTGTATATTATCATATTACTGTCAAATAATTTTATACCTAAACTTATAAATAATGACCATAATGTAATGGTAAATCACCACATAATCTTTCTTCATCATCTAAATTATTAATCCATTGTTATGACTAATATGATAGATAATCAAATTTGCATTTATTTACATTAAAGAATTCATTAATTGAAATCTTAAAAAAGTTGCCAAATGGTATTTTCTTAAAAATAAAATTTCCTAATTAGCTTTATTTTAATTTAGAATAGAAAATGATGATGGTACAATTTTAAAAGTGAAAGATGATAAAAATTTTACAAACCCAATTTGGAGTAATGGAAAGTATAGTTAAATATTCAATTAAATTTTTTAAGCTATTTGATTTATTGTTTATTTTATTTATTTTAATTTTTACATTTTCTAGCCCCTATTTTATTTATTTCCTATAACTTTTATTTATTTATTATCTTTCGAAATGATATTTTATCGTATCTAATTATCTAATCTGAAAGTTTCCTGATTATCACAATGTTATTCATTAATATCATAGTAATAAAATTTTTGTTTAATTGAGAAAACGAAGAAATTTTTTGTGTTGCATGATGACGAGTTAAGTTTACAAATATTACATCTTTTTTATGTTTGCATTTATTCCCGAAGTTTCCCCGAATTTTAAAACTTTTTTTTATAATAAATTCATTCATTCTCAGATGCTGATTTAATTAAATAATTCAAATAATTTATTCTTATTATTATTTCAAATTAAATTAAATCAATTATATTCCAAATATAATTTATTGATTATAAAAACATATGAAAATATGGAAAAAGAAAAAATATAATAAAATATAAACAAATAAATTCAATTTATTTATTTTTAATTCTCTTTTTATTGCTTTGTTTATTAAAGTTGGATATAATTTTCATTCATAGTGTTATGTTTTTAGTATGCGACTTAGAAAATCGTGCATAAATTTATATTCAAAGAAAATATTTTTCTCGATTGTTAAAAAGGTCAGTTATTATCAATTATTGATTTAATATTCATTGAACATTCATCAAATATTACGAAATTATATTCCTTCAATTATTATAGTTCACGAGAATAAAATACTTTATGATATCGCCAGACGATATGACATGACTTGCTGTCAAAAAATTTTACATGAAAAATTTATTAAATGTTGTCTATATTTGTTGTTCATTATCTTTGACTGTTGAAAATACGACAAATGTTTTGATAATTTAATTTCAAATTCGCAAAAATCAAATATTTTTGATGCAACTTATGAAGAATTATTATTCAATGTTTTCGAAAGATGGAGAATCGATTTAATAATTACGTTTCTTTAGGTAAAATGGCCGAAGTAAGTTATTATCTATATTAAATATCTATCATTATTATATTATTTTTTTTTTATATTTAATATTAATTATATGATTCACTCTGAATAATAACGACTAAAATAATAATGATAAAATAAAGGATGACTACAATAATGTATTAACAAATGCGTTCAATGGAAGAGAGCTGCCCAAAGAAAGAAAAAATTGTAAAAAGATGATGGATAATTTCATTCTGAATCGATTTTTTCTTTATTGGTATAATGGGCAGATAATAAATTGATATTTTACATTATTACAATTATTCATTATTTATTATTTATTATTAATTATTATTTATAATACAGATATTAATTTAATAATAATTTAATAATTATTATTATTTTATTTTTTTTAGATTTATCTAAAAATTTATAATAATACAAAAACGAAAAGAATTATAAGAAAAAAGTTTTATGGGTAATAATAATTAATTATTTTTAATTTAATTATTATTATTAAATTAATAAGACTAATTTTATTTTATTTTTATCACATTATAATGGACGGAAGAATATCAGAAAATCAGTTGTCATCGTCGTCTTCACCTATTGTTCAATTCAACGATAATTATAATACTGTAGTAAAGCTATAGTCTAACAACCGTTTTCATCATATAATATAAATAAATAAAATATGCTAAAATAATCCAAAATGGCAATATAACATAAAGTTATAAAATTCATCTAAATAAAAAAAAATTTTTATTAACAAGGAAATAGCGTAATTTTCAACGAATAATAATCTTAATATAAAATAATAATAATTACACACCAATTACACATAAATAATTGGGATTAGAAACTTTTTCCATAAAACTTTTGATAAACTTGATGATAAAAAAAAATATGAGTATTAGTAACTAAATTGAAAAAAATTCAGAATACATTTAGGTATGTAACATATTCAAATCTTGAAAATATGGCACAATACTGTGAAGACAAGATTAAAGGTGAACAAAAAATCATTGTTAAATTGGAGCAGGATATGAAGGGCATGGTTAAAAGACTCAGTATTGATAATAGGTATTTGCGAGCTTAAAAATGAGTTTAATTATCAACCCATAAATCCAGAATTTGATACTAATTTCGTTATACTGAGTTTTTCCCACGTAATATAAATATAGAGGCCAAGAACCCTCGACATGAAATTTAAATACCACGAAGCGAATTCCACCGCGAATTATGCAAAAAGGACTTCCCTGAAGCCTTAATAATCTAAATATTGTCGATTAGAGATATTAAGCTCGGAGATAATATACGTTTTTGGATATGAAGTTTGTAAATTTCGATCTTACACTTTTATTATTTCAGAAAATTTGATCTGCCGTTTAATTTTCCAGCCGTGACGTTTGCATCCCGTGAACAAAGCATGTGTATACAACGATGATCTTGTGCTACGAGTTGAATATTTTTTCGGTTTAATGATGAAATGCCGATCCATAATATAATACGTAGATTGCTGACTGAAATATGTGTAATCCATATGTAACGTGACATTAATATACCTCCTTTCCTAAAAAAAACAAATTATTTTCGCTTCACTTTTCGTCTAAAACTCGATAACTTAGACTGCTGGAAATATTAAAAGTAGGTTACTTATTGTTTTTTATATTCTTTTTATCATTTAAATTATATCTTTTCGTATCAAAGTGATTACTTTTCAATTATGACGATATTTTTGTTGATTTTATATGCGGCGAGCCTCACGATTTCAAAGATTCTAATTGCCATTTTGTCTATATTAGTCTTTATTTCCACCTTGCTTGCTTTGTTTATTTGTTTCTCATATCATTTTCATTATTTAACATGATATTTCTATATTTTCTAGCAAAACTATTGTTTGTTTTTGAGAATACATTTATCATGTGATCGTGAGAACCTTCGTTCAAAGAGCTGTTTGGGTAAAAAATATATGGTCGTTCAATTTTTTTTGAAATAACATCACTTCCACAAGAAAATAATATTCATTGTGATGCGAATATCACTCCTGGTGTGCCTGTGGCATTGATCAGAAAAATTTAGGAAAAATTCAAGAAAGATCGACTCTTCATAATATTGGATGGGGATAATCTACACATGTGGGAAAAGGTAATGAGACCGTTTTTTGATCTGATAACTAACCTTACCAAGAAATCTTTGCTCTTTTTATATTCGAAGGAGATATGTCGTTTCAAGATTAGTAAGATTGATGATCATACCATGGATGTCGTTAATATTCACTTCAACTTAATTAACAACGTTAGAAGTTTGTCAAGTAATTGAGGTACGATAAAATTCATGAATAAGATCACTTTCTTTGTTAAATAAGTTTCATAAATTCATGAATAAGATTACTTCTATTCATTTGATATCGAAATGAATATGATTCTTATTAAATAGGGCAACATAATTTGCGAGCAAATAAAGTCAGGTGAGGTGTGGTAATGAATACTCAAACAATTTGGATAAGTTATTTCCAATGATACTGTATAGCCTGGTAATTATTTCCGCTTCAATTTTATTATTTTTTTTGTTTATGTAATTTATTTTTAAGAGGATTTCTTTATATATATATATATTTTATGCTTTTTAAGGTTCAGCGCGTGTCCTTCCAACCCTCACACCTTCCCCCCTTCTTTCATGAAGCCAGATCGTTATTAGAAAATTATTTATTCCAATTTGACAGGATGATCGAACACAACTTTATTTTTTTCATTCCATGTGAGCGATCATGGAATTTGAGCGATTTGATGTTGCTGATATTGATTTTCCTCCATCAGTTGATACCTGTAAACATAAAGAAATGGTATTAAGCAATGTTTGAGAAAATGGCAGGATGATCGAATACAGCTTTATTTCTTTCATTCCACGTGAGGGATCATGGAATTTGAGAGGTTCGATGTTACTGAAGCAAAGTTTGAGAATATGACAAGGATGATCGAGCACAACTTTATTTCTTTCATCCCACATAAGAGATCATGGAGTTTGAGAGGTTCGATGTTACTGATATTGATTTTACTTCATCAGCTGATACCTGTCAAGATAAAGGAATCGTATGAGAACATGACAGGATGATCGAAAACAACTTTAATTCTTTCGTTCCACGTGAGAGATCTGGAATTTGAGAGGTTCGATGTTGCTGATATTCATTTCCCTTCATCAGCTGATAACTGTCCAACATAAAGGAATGGATGATCGAACACAAATTTATTTCTTTCATTCCATGTGAGAGATCATGGAATTTGAGAGGTTCGATGTTGCTAATACTGAAACAACTTTTGTTCCACGTGAGGGATCATGTAATTTGAGAGATTTGATGTTGCTAATACTGATGGTATGAATTTTAAAATTACAGTGATGTTTGAGAATCGTGCATGTAATTTAACATTTTTTTACAAAAAATATTAAAAGCCATATCATTTCTTTCTTACAGAAACAAAAAAAAATAGATATTCCATCATCTAATCCTCAGGGAAAAATTGAGAATGAGCATGGCTTCATGCTAGTATCACAACTGCAACGCTACCATCTTTTTTGAACAAGAAATTAAAATACCGATTACAATCTTTTTGTACATGATAATGATTATAACTTTAATAACAACTTCATTTATATTTTTGACGTTTTAATATTTTCTACCAATGACAATATTTTATATTAATTTACTAATGATTTTTAATATACTGACAATTTTCCTTTCTTCTTTTTTTTTTTTTGATTTCGCTATTAATTATATTAGTGATTATAACTTCTCTTCTTTTTACTATCAATTTTTTACTACTAACATTTCTAAATCTTTTTACTAATGATTTTATCTATGCTAACGAATAATTCTGTTGCTAACAATTTTTATTCTTTTAATAATTTTTTATTTCTATTGTCAAAAATTTCTATTTCTTTTTTTTTTAGCTGACTGGTGGGGTCTTGTCTTTATTCATTTAATATTTTTCATTTATTTTAGCGATTTTCTACTAACATTTATTTCTACTACTAACATTTATTTCTACTAACATTATTTTCTTTGACATTTTTATTACTTACAATTTCTATCTTGATCTTTGATTTCTACTAACAATTTTTTATTGATGATTCTATACTACTATTTTTCTTTTTCTGATAATGACTCTTATTTCTATTTTTTACTAGCATTCGAATTGACTTTCCAGAAAATCTTCTACCATTACTAACAAACAATTTTATGCTCATTAATTCTTAGTGCTAATTTTTTACTAATTTTGCTAACATTTTGTTTCTAATAATATTTCTTTATCCTATTTCCATTAATGTTTTTAATGATTTTCTACTATTTGTTTAAATATTGTCTTTAAAATATCTAATGCTCTTCAACTTTTTATTTTATAACAATATATATCAAGAATAATAGCAAATGTTATGAAAGAAGGTTTTGATATTGTTAAGAATCAAAAAAGGTAAGTAGAACTATGGTTATGAGCAATAGATGTTTATGAACAATAGATGTTTATATTGCACGACTAAAAATACGCATTTGTTAGAATTTTTAAGTACAATGATCTTGATTATTTGCTTATTTATTTTGTCAAATGTAATATATTTTTTTGGTAAAGGTCTACTAATTCTGAAGAAGGAGTTGGTTATGTGCTTTCCTTTATATCTAACAAAAAAATGTATTAGAGATTTCTCAGTATTTAGTTCTGCTTACGGGAATATTTTCTTAAAAAAATTATATTTTATTTTGATTAATAGGAAAAAATCACGAAAGAACTAGATTGATATTATTAAAATGATTTAAATGCTTTGAAAGAAGATTTTGATATTGTTAAAGATGAAAAAAGTAAGTATAAGCAATAGATTTTTGTATTGCACAATTTAAAATGCACATTTGTTAGAATTGCTAAGCACTATGATCTTGTTTTTGACTTATTCATTTTTCCTACTATAATTGATTCCATTTGATAATTTTTTTCTGTTGAATATATTGCAAAAGATGGTTTTAGTAAAATAAAATTTATAGGTAGGTTTGAAGAAAACTCAATATAAAAGATAATATCTTAAATGTAAATTGTTTAGCTATTAATTTGTTTTATGTTGTCACTTAAATGGTTTAATTTAAAATTATAATTCATTATTCAATCATAGTAATTTTGATTATTTGTTTAATTTTAATTATTACTTGTGGATTATTACAATCTTTGAAAAAATTACATTTAATTTCTTAATACATTTTAGAGTAAAAAAAAAATATATTATTAGTTTTTTAAATCGTTTATATTAAAGACTCTAAATATTTATATTATTAATAAATCAAAATTATTTGACGAAAAAAGTAATTGATCAATTTTAATTATTAACTAGTTCATAATTTAACTATAATTAATAACTATATAATATGAAAAGGAAGAATTTTCTAATTAGTAACCAATGGATAAAATGAATAATTAAATTTGAGCTACTGATCTATTGTAGTTAGAAACAAATTAATTTTCTCCGGAATTTCATTTCGTACACTGTGTATTAATTATAATTTATATAAATAAAATTATTGTTATAATAATAACATTTAATAAGAACAAAAGATCATTTCTACTGGACACAAGGTAGCCAATCGTGAATATTATTTTCATATATTTAATTTTATCTGAATTAAGTATTTTACAAGAATTCTCTGTATTTGTTAGTGAAGAATGATAATGTCATTATCATGATAGGCAAATAATATTATTATCTTAATATATTTCTGAATTCGGGTATAAATATAGAATTGATCGTCATTATAGTTTTAGTTTTATTGATATGTAACGTGATCAAACGTATCTCCTTCTTTCCTAAAAAATTAAAAAAAAAATAACATATTTTCGTTTAAAATCTCAAAAACTTTGACAGAAAGATATTAAAAGTAAGTTTTTTATTGTTTATATCATTTAAATGATAGCAGTTAGTATAAAGGAAGGAACTTTTCAATTATTGAGGATATTTTTTGTTGTTTCAAGTGAGGGAGCCTCATGATTTCGAAGATTTCAACTGTCACTTTTGACTGTTTTATTGAATTTTTTCTTGTTGGCTTGCTTGTTTATTTGTTTCTAACTAATATTTTCATTATTTAAGATGATATTTATCCATGTTTTTTCTAGCAAACAAGTAATTTCTTCAAACCATACCTCGGTCATGTGATATGGGAAGCTTGAGTGGGTTATTGGATAAAGGAATGTGTTTGCTCACATCTTTTTGAATGAACATTACTTCCATGAGAAAATATTATTTACTATGATGTAAAAATAACTCTTGAAGCGTCTCTGGTAGTGAACAGAAAGAGATTCTCACTTTGATTCTTAATATTATTAGCGATTTTTGATGGCAAGTTTATCATCAATATATTCACCTGGAAAAAGGTATAAACTTGATTTTATTTCTTTCTATATTCAATGAAATGGGAAGAATAGTTCATATTATGCTTACCTGTGAAGTCACTTCTAGTTGTTGTTTCAGGATTAACAAGGCAACATCAGCAAACAAAGCTAAATCAAAGATATTACAATGGATATTGCTGATTACTTTACCGGAACTTATAATTAATGTTGGAAGTTTGTGAAATAATTAAGGTATGATAAAAATTAAATAATTTATAAATCCATATAATATAGAATTTTACTCACTGCATTTATTGAAGTCATTTTTTATGAGAAAGAATGATTATTAAAAGAATTAAAAAGATTACAGATGCATGAGGCAACTACAATTAATTAAGAACTCATATGATGTCGAAATAAAACTATATCTGTTTAAGATAGGGGCACTATCATATTTAAAGAAAAGACAAAGAAGCAAGATGCCGATACAATCAGATTTAATGGTCATGTGAGCCTACAAATCTAAGCAATTCTTAATCATCATAGTAATAATACATCCAATAATTTGGTAAAGGTCATTTCTAATTGTTCATTTTTATTATCTATTATTTATTATTCTTTCTAATATATTTTTTAAGGTTCCGGTGTGCACCCAAACTCAAATTTTCTTTCATGTGAAATGAAAGATCATGGAATTCGAAACAAGAAAGTCACACGATCGATGTTACTTTTGGATTGGATCGTCAATTCAAGTTTTTATACCAGCCAGACAATGAATGGAATGAATTGTTAATGTTTCAAAAGTTAAAAATGTTGAACATTTTTTAAGAAAAATTATATCACTTTATTTCAATTTCATTTTACATGGACAAAAATTGAATTTCCATGTATTCTAATACTTGGGTAGACGTTGCAAATATTCTAAAAAAAGCATGGCTTCGCACTGGTAATGTAGACTAATGATTAATATTTTATTAATGATCGATTATATCACTATTTTACTAATTATTTATTGTATTAATGATTTCTGATTATTATAATTCTCTTTACTACTAAGATTTTTTTACTAACGATTTCTACTACTAACATTTCTACATTTTTGATTAATTATTTATTTATACTAAGGAATAATCTTTATTATTGTTCATAAGTCTAATTTATACTATACAGAATTTATGCCAGCATTTTTATTCGCTGCACTTCAATTTTTAGGTCTATCAATTTGAATTAACATTTTTTAATTATTGCTAATGATTCTCTTTTTACTGATACTTCAATTTTTTTTATATAATCTTCCACTTTATTTCTAGTGATTTTAGTTTCTTTTATTTCTATTATAAGAATTAATACATATTTTTACTACTAACATTTGATTCTTTAATATTTATTTCATTTAATATTTTATTTCACTATTAATGATTTCTAATTTAGTAATTCCCTACAAACATTTTTTTTTATTAATGATTCCTTTCTTTTTCTAATAACAATAATGATTTCCATTTTTTGTTAACATTTATTATTTTCATTATTCCTAAAGTTATTTTATTTATCGTTTGATCAAAGTGCCAATTTTTGACTACATATCTCCTAGGTGAGAATTTCTTATAAGAATTATTTATGTTGTACTTTACTTTTTTATTAATTTTCAAACACAATCATTCTTTGATTTTCATAAATTATCTGTATATGATTATCAAACAGGATTCTTTAGCATCGATACTTATCAATGTATATGCACACAGTCAATGAATAGTTAAAATCAATGTATATAATTACATCAGAAATTCTTATTTTTATAATCATTCTCATAATCTTAATTCTACTAATATTCATACTTCATTTTATCTAATATCTTCTTACTAATAGATTTCTCTTTTCTAACAATTTTTTTTTCTATTTTCTTTTTGATATTATCATCTATTTTATTTACTATTTATTCCTAATTAGTTTTACTAACGATTTCTTTTTTTTTTCAGTTTGATTTTCCCTGGCGTGCATCAATCCAAGATCCAAGCATTAATATTCTTTCATTCAGCAAGAAGGATCATGGGAGACGAGAAAGTCATGTAAAAGCTATTGGTCAGTTTTACTTCTGGATTTGTCAATTCAAGTTTTTTTTATCTGTCATGATAATCAAATGGCATGAATTGCTAATATTTCAAAACCTAAAATTATAGCATTGTTGAGATTTTTTAATAACTACATTTTATATGTTTTAATATACCAATGAAAATCATATTTTTACTAACGATTTATATTTTATTAACGATTTTATATAACAAATTCTATCTTATTAACAATTTTCCATTAAAATAATAATGATTTCTATTTAGTATGACTTCTTTAATACTAACGACTTTGAACTATCTTATATTTTTATTAACGAAAACTACTAACATTTCTAAATTTTTTGTTAATAATTTAATTTATATATTTTATTTACTAAGAATACACGAAGAAAGAATAATAATGTATAACGGCAAAGATCATAGAAAAGAGGGGGATCCAATTGCAACAGAACTACGAAAAACCTAAGAAATAATCTTGGATACATACATAGTGGTTATTAAGAATGGAATGAAGAGCACTAATTATGAACGTCGTGCAATTATTCTATACGAGCAAATGGTTAGTTATTTTTTGATTGGTCTTCAAAACGTATAAGTTCTTTTTTTAAACCAGAAAAAAACATCGGTGACATAATATTTGACACAGCCTTGAGAAGAGAAGTAACCAAAACAATTTCCATGTTATCAAACAGCAAAGCAACAGGAGTCTCAAACATTCCCTACTAAATGCGAAAACACCTATATGCTAATCGCATAAATGAATTATTAAAGATATTTAACAAATACTGAGCTGATCTGGTGAAATATTGCAGAACTGGATCACAGCAACATATTTCCAATCGTTAAATCAAAACCATCGGCAAGGGACTTCAGCCGATAGCATTACATGATATGGTGAGGGAAACCTTTTCTAAAATAATCTAGAAAGACTATCAAGTTTGCTTACTAAACACCCATATATTATACCCATCCAATTGGGCATGACTTCCAAAGGTGGACCAATATATATAATAAGCAACTGTCTTAAAGAAGCAAGGGAAAAATGAAACAAATTTTGATCATGTCCCATGAAAAAGAATTTGACTTTTTTACCATCCTCAATTAAAAGCAAATTCTGACAAGGATCAAACTACCAACAAAATTGCAAAAATTAAATCCATACACCAAACAAAAAGGAAGGTGATTACATTTTACAGAATGACCAGGAAATTCTCGTGTCCCAGGAATCCTTGAGGAGATGTCCTATACCTCTTATTTTATTATTATAGAGGATACGCTATAACCTGCCATTATTGCGAATCAACAAAATGGAAGAGGGCTATTATCTATAAACCAAACATTACCACAACATCACGACATAAATTCATATACCAAAATTTAACGTAGTTACATACATGGATGACACAACATACATAGCAGATAGAGAACACTGCATAAGCACAACTTTCTTAATATCTATAACATTTTTTTCCATTAATGGTATTAATTATTTCTTACTCTTTAATATATCAGATTCTTGATGAGGAATGATAAAGCTCAGCTTATTTATTGAGGAGATGCCGATCATGATTAATAAGATTATCCAACATCAGCAAATCAATAAAATTTAATAACAATATGAATGTTGCAGATTACTTTGTTGAATTTGTGTTCAACGTTAGGTAAAATCAATTTATAAATTATGAAAAAGATTACTTTATTTTTTATTTGATATTGAAATAACAATAATTTTTTACTTAAAGTAGGGGAAGTAACATATTTGTAAACCTAATAAGAAGTAGAATAGCTGGTATAATTAGATTTATTTGCCATTTACAAATCAACATGATCAAGAAAGATGTAGATATTCTTAATTAGTGTGGTAATGAATACATTCACAATTTGGATAGGTAATTACTTCTGATCCCCTTTTATAATTATTTATTTTATATATATAACATACTTCATTTTAAAAACAATTCTCTCTTGTACATATATATATATTATGTTTTTGAGATTCCAGCTTACATACTTCCAACACAAAACTTAATATCATCCTTCCTCTCGTAAAGTTTCTTTCATTCCTCATAAAGGATCATGGAATCTGGAAATCAAAAAAGTCATACATGGGTTACCAGTCGATGATACTTTGGATTTGTCAATTCAAGTATTTATAAGTGGACTCATAATTACCTGCAAAAAAATGGAATGGTATGAATTTTAATATTACCAAGTTAAAATTACAGCAATGTCGAAAATAATGAACATTTTTTAAAAAATCATACTAATTCCTTTATTTTAATTCTCAGGAATATGTTGAGAATTCTCTAAAATAAGCATGTCTACATACTGGTAATGCAGCCAAGAACAACATTGATTGAGATTAAATTACTAACTGCATATAATGAGTGATTCAATATATTTTTTAATTATTTTTTATAACTTCATATATATATATATATTAATCCTTCCACCAATGAAAATTATATTTCTACTAAAGATTTATATTTTATTAACGATTCTACATAACAAATTCTATTTTACTAACAATTTTCCCATTTAAATAATAATTTCTATTTATTATAACTTCTCTTTAATACTAACGACTTTAATTTATATTATCTTTTTACTAACGATTACTACTAACATTTCTACATTTTTTGCTAATGATTTTATTTATATTTTATTTACTCAAAAACCATAGAAAGAGAGGCAACAGAACCACGAAAAATCAAAGAAATAAACTTAGAAACATATGAAAACTAGAAAAATGTAGTGGTTATCAAGAATTTACCGAATGGAACGAAGAGTACAACCTTGCAGAAGAGAAGTAATCAAAAAGATATCCATGTTATCAAACAGCAAAGCAACGGGGTCTCAAAAATCATCTACGTGATCATCACATAAATGAATTAATGGAGATATTTAACAAAATACTGGACTTATCTGGTGACATATCGCAAGTCAAATTATGGACAAGGAAATTCAGCTGATAACCCTATTTGATGTGGTGAGGAAAAACCTTTACTAAAATAATCTAGAAAGCCTATCAGGTGTGCTGAACAAACAGCATATATTATCCTATTCAATTGAGCGGGATTTCCAAAGGTGGATCAATACATATAATAAAAAACTGTCTCAAAGAAGCAAGGGAAAGAAAGTAAACAATTTGGATCATGACCCTAGACATAGCCAAAGCATTTGACTCAATTTACAACTCACTATTAAAAGCAATTACTGACAAGAATTAAACTCCCAACAAAATTGTAAAAACTATTATTAAATCCATACACCAATCAAAAAGCGAAAGTGTTAAATTTTACATAATGAACAGAAATTCTCATGTACCATAGAAATCCCCGAGGAGATTCTCTATCACTCTTATTATTGAGGATATACCACAACCTGCTATTATGCGAATTAGCAAAATGAAAGAGGGTTATTATCTAGAAGCCAAACAATACTTCAATGTCATGTCATCAAATCCATACACTGAATAATCTGAAAGTTAATGTAATTACATACTGTACATGGATAATACAAAATAGTAAACACTACATGCTAAAGATGCCACGACAAGCTGAACAATTAACAAAATTCACTGGAATGCAAATTAATCGATCAAAATCAGACCCATTATTTGTTAATGTGAAACTAAAAGATCCGACTCATATCCACAAATAGAATTTGATATTCATATCATAAATAATATAGATAACATTCAAGCGATTCATCTTCTTGAGATCTACATACAAAAAACTGAGGTAGAGAATTCAAAAAGAAATGATCCTGGAAAAGTCAAGAAAGCCTATAATATAATCAGCAATAAGAGAATAACTGATAAAGAACTAAGATATCCAAAAATAGAATAACTTCTAAAAGATTATATATCAATGCAATTTTAAAGATAAGATTAATTCTTATGTTTCCAATCCATCAACGTAAAGCATCATCGATCAAAATCAGATCCATTATTTGTTAATGTGAAAACTAAAATATCTGACTCAAATCCACAAATAGAATTTGATATTCATATCATACATATCATAAATGATATAGATAACATTCAAGCTATTTGTCTCCTTGAGATCTACATACAAAAAACTGAGGCAAAGAATTCAAAAAGAAATGATCCTGGAAAAGTCAAGAAAGCCTGTAATATAATCAGCAATAAGAGAATAACTGATAAAGAACTAAGATATCCAAAAATAGAATAACTTCTAAAAGATTATATATCAATGCAATTTAAAGATAAGATTAATTCTTATGCCTCCGATCCATCAAACGTAAAGCATCTTTCATACAAATAGCATATTTACTACAGATTTCGGATACAATATAATCAAAGGGACAATAGAATCATCAGAAAAAAATGATAGAAAACTTATTAGCATCCAACAATACCTCGTTAGGCAGGAGTGGAAAACTTTACATTCTATACGGACAAAACAAATACAAGATGGGACAGACGGAATCAAATAGTAGAATAAGACAATATTAAAAATTGATAATAAGTATCGAAAAATCATTTACACATGAAAACGAATGCAATTAAAACTTATATAATATTTATTAATATAAGAAGCATAAAAGAACATATAAAGAAAATAATAAAAATTTAAACTAAACGAATTTAAAGGTAGATTAAAAGTATAAAATAAAAATTAACCCATTATTTTCTTTTTCTTTCCGTAAAATTTCTTTTCTTAATGGGGATCATTGAGATTTGTGGGATCTTTAACTCCACCAATTCCATCGCATCCATTGAATCTTTTACTTCCATTAAAGGCTTAAAAAAATAAATATAAATTACTATATTTTATTTAAATATGATAATGATTAAATAATATATTATATATATACTTACTCGAAGAATTTCGTCAACTTCTTCCAAGATCTTTTCCTTCGACTCCTTTACCTTCTCATCCTCCTCTACACCTTTATCTTTTCTTCCTTCCCTTTGTATAATGCGAACATCTGAAATAGGAGTAGCAAAGGTCACCTTCTTTTTTCTTGCATTAAATGAAGGCTTCAAAATAAAGTAAATTATAAGTTTCTTATCTTTTATTTAACATAAATTAACAATAAAACAATTATATTATATTATAAATGTATTTACCTGAAGAATTTCGTTATCTTTTTCAACCACCCTTTTTCTCTCCTCATTTTTTCTTTCCTTGATATTCTTAGACCTCTTAATGATGGATCTTTTCTGAGGAACTTCAGATTCCTCCGGTCTCCTTTTTATAATTAGAACTTCCGAAATCGGAGGTGGCATGGCAAAAGTCACCTTATTTTTCCTTGCATTAAACAAAGGCTAAAAAATAAAGAAATTATAAATTTCTTATCTTTACTTAACATAAAATAATATAAAATAACTATAATTATATTTACCCGAAGAATTTCGTTAGCTTTATCTATTGCCATCCTTCTCTCCTCGTTTATTCTTTCTTGAACATCCTTGGATCTTTTAATGAAAATTCTCTTTCGAGGAACTTCAGATAATTCTGATATTTGTCGTTTCATTTTATATAATTTCTTAAAAATTTATGAATTTAATATATAGAATTTGGAATGTTTAAATTAGTACTTAGCTATTTAATTATTTCGTTTAAGGAATTATAACAATTATTAAAGAAAAATTTATAAATTTCTTAAACCTCAAAAAAATAATTCAGGTGGTATATGAAAAAAAAGAAAGAAAATTGAGTTTTAAATATTTGCGAGATATACTATGACTCATATTATACATCATGAAAAAAAATAATCTTGATTGTAACGTAATTATTATTTTTTATTACACTTGATAATCTGATGACTTTTTCACAATTATGCGATCTCATGTCAAATACCTATTACTATAATGACATCACATATTATCTATGTTATGTAATATAATCTATTTCCGATGCAATAAATGAATCAAAAGAAAAAATATGTTAAAAATATGCCCCTGAAAAAAAAAAAATTCTTATTATTTTTTTTATTTTAATTACGTTTTTCCTAAAATCTAATGTTCTAGATTGATTTATTGTGCATTCATATGAAAGAGAAGTCAAAAGATAATCAGAAAATTTTAATGGCCATTCCAAATATGTAAAACAAATCCACTTGAAAAAATAACACGTCAATAATTTCCATTTTAATAACAAATTATAATCTTAAGAAAGTGACTGACGATTATTTATTATTTGATTTTAACAATAAGCCACATAATATAATTTCATATTTTTCGCCTATTTCAGGAATCATTATTATTATTTTTTTTTTTTAAATAAAAATTCTAATTAACAATAATATTATATATGTCGTTTATTATTTTTTTTTATATTGATTTTAATACTTTTCTAGAGCATCCTGAAAGTATATAAGGACCACCCTTTTTTTCGTCAATAAATTTTTTTTTAATTTTCGAAAAATAATAAATCCTTAAATAAAGTTTTATATCTTTGAAAAAATGGCATCTCGAGAACAAAAATTACAACAATTTAGTAACAAATCTTATATTATTACAATTATTATTATTATATTTTCATTTTCGTATTAATTAATTATTAATTTATTTCTCATTATTATTTTTATTAATTTTATTAGAATCATTACCAATGAGAATTAAAAGAATCATGCATCACATTAATGTCGATGGGATGAAGTTGGTCAGAGAATTTGATTTAAATTCGGATACTGAAGCAAGAGAACAATTGAAATCGATCTTGAAGGAGATCGATTTCATTCATGTTCACTTTAACGAAAACGAAGGTGAAAAGTTAAAAATCGCAAGAGAAGTAGGTTTATTATCATTTTTTTTCACCCAATATTTCATAAATAAAATATCTAATAATTTTTTTTTTTTTTTTTTTAATATTAGCTCTTAAAGTTCTATCGAAATAAATATATCGGAGCTCTTGCGATTTATATGCCCAAACAAGCAAAAAGAAAAAGAAATTCCGAAGATAGTAATAATAAAAGGGCAAAACGTCATTAAAAATTCCTTTTTTTTTTTTTTAATAATTAATTTTAATTTTTTTTTTCATATCAATTATTGTCTTTTATTTTATTTTTTTTTAATTTTATCATATAAATATCTTTTTTTTATTATCAATTATATCGATCTTTTATTTTTTTCAATTTCGTGTATATATATTTTTTATTTCTTGTATATAATTCATTATTTCTATATATTCTTTTTTATTTCGTGTATATATTTTATTTCTTGTATATATTTTTTATTATTTTTTTTTCTTTTTTTCTTATAAATCTTAATAAATATCATCTTTTATATATCTTATCTATTATGCATGTTTCAATCGTCTTCCTTAAAATGATAATACGTAGTAATGTAACAATAAAAGTAAAAAGAATATAAGAAATTTTTTTATTAAATAATTAAAATTATTGAAATTTAATAATAAAATTAATTAATCAAAATGATTATATACATGATTTTTATAATAAATCTAAAAAGTATTAAATGATTAAAATAAAATATATGAATAAATAATTTTCAAAAACGATTATATAAAAAACCATACTCTATAATTCAAGAATAATAAAATAATAAAAGTTAAAGTTAAAATAGTAAATAATGGTACTTAGATTTGCTAGTATACTTTAATGTATTTACTTTATATATTTATCTTAAGAACTTTTATTATTTCATAATAAGAAGTTAATGATATATTGAGTGCAGAGCGGTTTTACTTCCAAATAATAAAAATTAGAAATAATTTAGATATCAAATAATACAAATACAATAATAAAAATACAAATAATACAGATAGTTTTTTATTGCATCATAATTATCCTACAATCATCAAAAATGATGATTATCAAAGATTAGTACTTGACAAGTGAAAAAAAGGTTTCTAAGAAAAAAAAAAAAAAAAAAACTGTTGATTGAAAATTATTTCCATTTTCTAAAAATCTAATTTAAAAATTTTTTCTTAATAGTTTAAATAATTTTCATATTGTCAAAAAAAAAATAATTGCCAATTTTAATTTAAAGAAAATTATAAATCATAAATATGGTATAGCGTCAAGAGTCATATTACATGTCATTCAATTATCATAATTATCATGAGTAAAGTAAAAAATTATTTGTTTAACCCTTGAAATGCCTTCAAATCTACGGAAATAATTAAATGATTTTAATGATAATCATAATGAAAAATTTTTGATAACATGACACAACTTAATATCCATTACTATTTATTATTCGATGTAACAATTTTTATAATCGTAATTATGTAATAATAATAAGCTTTTGATTAATTATTTTGACGATTAAATATAAAATTTATTAAACCAGTCATATGCTGATAAAATCTTATCGTAATAATAATCATTTACTTACCTTTAGTATAAATTAATCATATGCTTTAAAAAAAAATATTCATGGTCATAATAATAATTATTATAAGTTTTTTCAGCTCTTTATGTAATATATTTTAGATATAATCCAATTTTTCGCCTTTCAATATGAATATAATGAAAAATATTGCATATTGTATCCACTATTATTGTTTGTTCTTTCTTTCTCAAGTTTTCCATTTCGAATAAAAAATAATTAACTAAATTAAGTAATTTTATTTTTTTTTACATAAACTATACTTTTTATTATGCATGCAAAATATGATATTATTTATTCGTTTATCTTCAAGGAGAATAATAAAAGTGGCTCACGTGATTTCGATAAACTTCTATACGCAATTTATTTTATCACATATAAAACAAGAGATATATTAAATGCAAAAATAATACAAGAATATATAACTGATAATATTATACATTGAATAATAATAATGATAATTGATTTACATTTATCTTAAAGTCATAAATATTAATTATTAATTTAAACCAATTCAATCGCATGTGTTATTACGATATGTGTAAGAAGAGTAATCATAATTGTAATCATAACTATAATCATAATATAGATATATTATATTTTTTTCATAATATTTGTATTAAAATATCGAAAGTGGATTATCTTTTTATTTTCATGACTTCTAAAGTACTTATTATTAATGAGTAACAAATTAAAAGTTAAATCTTCAATTAATCAATTTATATTGATATTTATAAAGTATACATTTAATTTATTTAATTTTATTCATAAGACAGGTCGCATATTCTCCCAAGTGAATTGTGGCTATGCATTTTTAAGATTCAAAAATATTTGACAACTAACCAAATATGGTAATTTTTAACAGTATTTCAAATAAAATACGTCCAGAACTAAAAAGCATATGACAACAAATAAAGAAAAAACCTATTATTATTGATCAAAAATATCATCAGAAGAAGAAATTATTAAACAATTACATCTGAGAATAATTTCTTAAAAGTGTCAATTGTCCTGATTAATGTTATGATGTTTTAAAAAAAAGATATCTAAGAAGTGAAAATAATTATTACTTTAAAAATCTTTTTCACTCCTACACAAAATAATCCCAATCAGATTTGGATCATAATGGCGTAGTATAATAAAGGAAATGTATCATGCATCTTATCAAAAAAAAAATCCGTTAATAATTACACGAATAGCGCAGAAAAAAATTCATGATAATTATTAACTAATTTTTTTTTTTTGATAAGATGCATATTACATCATCTTAATTATTTATTAGTAATTAATAATAATTAAAATTGTATAATATGGCATGATATGATGCCATTAGACAATATATTTAAGGAAAGATCATCAAAAAAAAAAAACTTAATAATTATTATGATGGGTATTTTCCCCAGTTTATTAATTGACTAATATGGGTATTTGAACGGGATTATAGATTATATTAGAAAATATTAATTTATTTATAATACAGCACATATTTTAAGCTTTTTTTTATTATCAAATTATATATGATCATTTCAATTGAATATTATTAAATAATTCGAAAATTTATTAAGTTTATAAATTATCATATCACTTTAATATAATACAATGCAAATATTTATTATTATTCAATTATCTATTGTTAATTTATTTAATTTATTTTTTTTTAATGATAACGTAGTCAAATATGATTATAAATTTAAATATTTTGTACAAAAGTTAAAATACAACAATAAAGAACAAATAAATAATTCAATAAATGGATGATCCATCTACTGTATAAATCATACATAATATATTTGATAATGAATACGCAGTTGATGTCAATATTTTTTTTTATTAAATATCAAACTGGTAATCACAGAAAAAAATTTCATCGAAACACATGAATTTTTATTTAACTATATTTATTATATTTGATTCATCTTATCAAAAAGGGACTGCGAATAATTTTAATAATTAGAATTTGGTCATGGGTATTATCGGGGGGCACGAATTTGAGGTGAGGGTACATTTATATACATATATTATTTATAGTAGTAGTCAATATAAATTTTTTTTGTGCTACATAATATTATGTTATATTATATTATTAACGAAATTTTTTACTTTTTATTTCTAAAATTAAATACTCACCGACTGTAATATAATTTATATTGATTAATTTAGAGAATTGTTATAATGCAATACCATCAAACTGTTAATCATATTTATTGATTAAATTTATTTTCAGGCGCAATATTTTTTAATTAAATAATAATAAATAATATAAAATAAATATTACTATAAATATTAAAATGTGATTAATAGTGAAGTATAATAATTACGATGGATTGGGCAATTCATCAGTCAATAATAATACTTTATTTTATTGATAGGCATAATAAAAAAAATGATTCTCTTTTGTGATCCAAAAAAATCAAGGATTTCCATATTATCATGTCTTAAAACTGTGAAACCAAAAATTAAAGAATCTTTGTGAGATAATCATGGAATCCTGTAGAAGAAATTTCAATATAAAGTAATAATATGATGACACATGATTATTTACTTATACTATACTTTGTTTCAATCAAAAAAAAAGCTTAATAACTAATTATTGCATTAGACTAATAATTAATAATTATTAACAAACCTTTTCGTGAAACCCAATCCATAGCCAAATCCTTATTTAGAAAATTTTTGGCAAGCAGAATAAATGAGGATAATATCATATGTTATCTTTTTATTACGTTATATCATAATTTCTTCTGCAGTCTTTCATTAAGTTTCTTTATGCATTGATATGAAAATCCTTTATTTATTAGATCACAAGATATCATTTTTTATTAGTTTTATATTTGATCACACGATCAGCATTCAATTTTTTTTTTAAAAAAAAAACTCTTTTCATTTCTTCTCAAATTTAACAAAACGAGGTAAATTTGGCTTTAAATTAACTCTCTGTTACCTCAAAACTTATTTAGTTTCCTTAAATCGCGTTATATTTGTTTATTCCTCACACTACCTACAGCTAAAATTTATAAAAATGCAAGAACTTATTGTCTGTAACTGGTTAAAAAAAACTGCACCAACATCATTTGCTTTAGGCAGTTTTATGTCAGATATAGTCGTATTAATGTGGAGCTTGATACAAATCGGCCGTTGTAGTACTACTAGTTTACACTTTAAAAATTTTTGTGTTGAGGTATTTATTTATATCATAATTTATTATAAAGTAATAAAAAAGACCCATACAAATTTATATCTAATACCTTTTTTGATTATTTAGACAATATTAAGATTAAAAATATCAAAAGAGACTGTCTTCATCGCAATTAAATATGTACAAAAGTACATGAAAAGAGGGAACAATGCAAACTTTTCAAGCGAATATCAACTTTTTACAATCGCTCTAATGGTCGCACATAAGTGGCACAACGAACCGGTTTATACGAATAAAACTTGGTCGGACCTTTCTCATATCCCTCTTATCGAAGTTAATAAGTTGGAGATCGCGTTCATGGAATCTTTAAATTACAAGATTCATATCAGTGAAGTCAAATATTCTTTTTGGATAAAATGTTTGACAGAATATGCCAAAACCGGCAAACTCGTTTCGCTATTTGTTGAACGATTCAGCAAGGACACTACTCCATCTCCCCCACCACCACCAGGTTTTGGTTTTGCGATAAAATCAAGAATTATTCCTACCCCGATAGGATATGAACGGAATCAATATAGATTATATGAGTTATTTGATGGAATTAAAATTGATTTTTTTAAACAAAATCAACCTAGAACATATAATTTATATGATGGACTTAAATTTAGTTTTTAATTAATCATTTTTAAAGCGATAAATTTAATTCTATTTTTATATTTTTTCGAAAATTTTTATTTTCATTTTATTCTTTAAATGTTATTCATTGTTTTCTTTAAATTCTTTGTTTCTTTTATTTTATAAATAAAATTATCTTTGATGCATTCTATTAAAAAAAAAATTATTTTATTGTCAACTTTTTATTCAGTATATCTCGCTATGTTTTATCCATGAAAAGTGGGTCACATATTTATTTAAGTTGGTCAGATGTACAGTATATAATCTGAAAATCTCTTTTTTTTTGTGCTGTTGAAGAGCTATGAAGAAATTTCTTTTTATTTGATTTGAAATCATTTTATTCGTCTGATAATGATGGTTTTTTTAATTCTCTTCGCTCGAAATAAATTAAATTAATAAAATCAAATTAAAATATTATTAATCATCTCCATTTTTTTTTGATCTGATGAAATAATTAAAAGCATCTGATTTCTTTGTAATTTAACTGGTAGCTTCTCTCTGGGTGTTATAATCAGAGAAGCAGATGTTGAAGGTAGGGTCATGCTTAGTCTTTCTGTCATTTCTCCAGTTCAATAAATATTGTATCATCCTCCGGTTTAATAAATATTGTGCCGTCCTCCGGTTTAATAAATATTGTGCAACAATTGTCATGCTTTCTAACATTCTAACATTAGGATCAAATCCATCCTCTGGTTTAATAAATATTGTACAACAATTGTCATGCTTTCTTTCATTAGGATCAAATCCATCCCTATATTGTACAACAATTGTCATGTTTTCTGTCATTAGGATCATCCTCTTATTGTGCGACAATTGTCATTCTTTCTGTCATTAGGATCAAATCCATCCTCTGGTTCAATAAATAAATAAATATTGCACAACTTTAATAAGTATTGTGCAACAATCGTCATGCTTTCTGTCCAAATTGATCAGTTCCGAAAATGTATGCGGGATTTTTTGGTTCATTATAATAAAGAAGAAATAAATTTGAAAATTTTCGATTAACAAAACATCATGATTAAATATTGGATTAAATAATTTATTATAATTAATACATGAATTCTGTAGATGACGGCCTATACTAATATAATAATTTGCAGATAAACACAATATGAAGTCTTACATTTAATAATCTTGCAAACTACTTGTTATTATGCATAAAGAATTTCGAACATTTTATTAATTTTTATAATCAGTTTGGTTAGATTAAAATTTGTAAGCTTCAAACTATGGTAAAAGACAGAAAAATGGGAAAATTTAAGCCCGTAACTGCAGCTGAAGCAATTCGTACTAGTAGTAATAATAGAGATAGAGATAGTACTTTTAAGGAAGCTAAACTTATTGCTAGTATATCAGGGACAGTTCTTAATTAAAAAGAAAATATTAAAATCTTTGTCTTGGATGAAGCTGATAATATGTTGAATCAAGAAGGATTAAGAGATCAAAGTATAAATGTAAAAAATATGTATGTATTATGTCATTTTTATTATTACCATCATAATATTTATCGATTAATTATTTAACATTATTATTATTAAAAAAAAATTTTTTTATTTCTTAAAAATATTTATAAAATTTAGTTATCCCTAATCATAATCATTACATATTTATTATCTAAATTTCATCATCATTAGAGAGCTTGAGTTTAAATTAAAAAAAAAAATAATTAAATTAAAAAATTCGCTTTTAATAAAACATTTCTTTTACAAGGTGGTGATTATTGTCGAACTTTTGAATATTACTCTTTAATATATTTCTTAAATTTTACATTTAACTATTTTGCATATTTGAAACTGATAGAAATTCAAGATATTATTCCAATGAGTTTGGTAATTGGTTGGGTGTCAGAAATTCCCGTGGTATGAGTCAAGATTCAAAATCTATCTGAAATTTATTAAACCGGAGGATGGATTGATCCTAATGACAGAAAGCATGACAATTGTTGTACAATATTGTTGTACAATATTAAGAAAATCCAATGACACAAAGCATGCTCAATACTTGACTTGTACAATATTTATAAACCGGAAGATAGATTTGATCCTAATGACAGAAAGCATTACGATTGTTGTACAATATTAGGATGAACTTTTATTTATATAAATTATCCTTACTTAGAATTATTTAAAATTATTATAAATGCAATCGTGGAATTGTGGAATAATTATTTAAATATTATTTGATTAATTGACAAAAATTTACAATGTAAACAATTAATAATATAAATAATTTATAGTTTATGAATCATTTAAAAATAATTAAATGTCTCGCAATAATAATAAATAGAAAATTTATTATTTTTTTTTTCCAAAAAAATAGTAAAAACAATAAAATTTATATTGATGGAGTAGATCTATGGAGAGATTTTTTTGTATTCACATCATTTTTTATTTTTAAATAAATAAATTAATTATTATATATCACTGGTCGAAAATTGATAAAACATACACATATCGGGTACCCGATATGTGCATGGTGTGTCCCTAATATCGGGCATATATCGGGTACCCGATAAGTGTAGAAAATATTTTTTTACACTTATCGGGTATCCGATATATATATAAAATATTTTCTACACATATCGGGTACCCGATATATGCCCGATATTAGGGAAACACCATGCACATATCGGGTACCCGATATGTGTATGTTTTATCAATTTTCGACCAGTGTATAATATGTGCTAATTGAGAAAGAGAATAAATATTTTATCATTTTGATGATTCTTTGATTTAGTTGTAATGAAAAATAAATTAATATTATTTACATATAATTTTTCTTCTTCAATTTATTTATTTTGCTAATTAATATAAAAAATATATGATTAAATAAATAAAGACTTTGTCCAGTTCATTATTCTTATGATTTTAGCTGTTATTACATTAATAAAAACAAATAAAATATATAATTAATAAAAGTAAAAGACTATTTTTTATTAATTTTTACTATTAAAATTAATTGATCAAAATATCTATTTTTAAAAAAATAAAAATATCATTTGAACTTTCTTTAAATTACTTTATTTTAACCTAAATATTATTAATTATTCATTATTATAATTATTGTGAGCAAACAATTTTTAATCTTAATGTGACTATTATTGATCAATAAGATTATCATTAAAATAAAGTCACGTGAATATGTAAAAGATGGTTTGTGTAATTTGTGTAATCCAAGTAATAAAGAGACAACCGTGACTATTAATGATTATTGTATCCGAGATTAGATTAGATAGATTAGATTTAATAGTCTTCCAAAATAGATTGCAATAATTACGTCAGTTTCATCACATACAATTGATCACAAAAAAAACTATACAATTCAAAAAATCCAATTAAAATTTGGCCCGAAACTCTTCAAAAAACTCAGTTGAATATTTGAACTTGACTTAAAGTAACTATAGTAACTATACAAATATTCTTTAATCTTTTTAAATATTAGAGTAACAGTTTTTAATTGAAAAATCTATTTTATTATACAAACAATTATTATTAGTAGATAATTATAATGTACAATCACATTAATACTCTCGTTGATGCTGTAATGGTCATGTCATTTATAACAGATTCGGTGACCAAAAAATGTCTAAGTGCATTTTTATTCTCTTAAAAAATAAAAACTTGCTTAAAAAGATCACTAAACATTTGTGCTTATAGTCACCCAACGAACACACGTTAATTATCAAATTAATATATAAGTTTTATATCTGTTCTATCTCAGTGAGTGAATATTTTGTTATCTATTATCAATTTATTAAATCTATTTATTATAAATAATAATTCTTTAAAATTAGTGTTGTAATAAAATTATTCATTAATTAATAATTCTCAATAAATTTGAAACAATTACGATAATCGAAGATAAAAAATGTTGAGGCAATAAAATCACGATTGTGATGTTTGTTCATTATTTCTTATTCCTTATGTTTCTTATTTCTTTGCCTATTTTTTTTATTTATTTTTCGATTATTTAAATATTATTTATATTATTTTCTCGAATTGATTTATTTTATGATGATTTCTTTTTTAATGATGACTTATGGATTTTTAATATATTTAATAAATAATAAATTGAATGAATTAAATACACGATCCATTCATCATAAATAAAAAAAGTAAAATCACATAATCTTTATACTAATTCATTAGCCAAACATTTTCATCGTTCCTAACATATTTCTCCTTCTCTAGTTTCTTTTAAAATTGATAAAAACAAGGATTTCCATATTATTATTTCAAAAAATCTTGTGCTAAAATTGTGAAACAAAAAAAAAAGAATCTTAGTGAGAATATTATTCAATGCTGTAGAAGAAATTTCAATATAATGTAATAATAAGTTGGCACATGATATTTGACTCATACTTCTACTACTATTCTTTTTTTTCAGTCGAAAATAAAGTTCATCAGCCCATCATCTACCTAAATTAGCTTGAGTACAATCATTAATAATAACTAGGATACATATATATCATTAATAGTAGTCACTGAATATTATATTAATGAATTTTTTGTATTATCGACCATCCATCAGACTGGTAATCATATTTATTGATTACACAAAAAAAATTTCATCAAAACGCATGAATTTTTTCTATAAGAATTTCTAAAGTCATTTATTATTATTATTATTATTTGATTTATCTTATCAAAAAAAGGATTTTCAATTAATAGAATTTTGTCATGGGTTAAGATGAGGGTACATACGTTCATTAATATAAATTTTTTGTGTTACAGAATATTATATTAATGAAGTTTTTGTATTATCGATACAAATCAAACTGGTAATCATAATTATTGATTACACAGAAAATGATTTCGTTTAAGGATCACCTAAAAATAGTTAAAAGTCAAGTTTACTAATGACTTTTATGACATTCTTGCCAACAGCGATTTATTTGGTCAATTTATAACTTTACTTTAAAGAAGTAGTAAACTTCCATTTTAATAATGTATTTAAAAAATGATAATTATTAATCAGTTCAATATTTTAAGTTAACTATTATTATTTCGATTCATCTTATCAAAAAAAATTAGAATTTTGTCATGGGTTCTAATGACTATGAAGGGTGATGATATATAAATTTTTTTTTGAGTTACAGAAATTTTTTGTCGTAATGCAATACCATTAATTTTTCCATAAATAACCAAAACTTTTAAATTTTTTTTAAAAAAAAACTCTCCGCACTTTCTCACCTGCAATTAACAACCTAAAAAAATAATTATTTTAAAAAATATCTTTTCAACTCATTCAAACCGTACCATACATATCTTTCCTCTTCTCATTTTACTATCACAATGCAAAACAATAAAAGAACAACTTCGACCGCTGCAGCTTTGGCCGTGTTATCAGCAAATATTGTTTCTAAGATGTGGAATTTAAAGAAAGAAGGCGGCAGTGAATCTGCAAACATAAGTTTTAAAAAATTTTGTGCGAAGGTACTTCTTCTTTATTATCTATGTTTATCAGAAAGAAGTAATAGCTATAACTAGAACTTTCTTTACTTTCTATATTTATGTTTCTAGTTAATATCAAAATCGCAAATATCAGATGATACTATCTTCTTGTCCTTAAAATATGTACAAAGGTACATCAAGAAAGGAAACAACATTGACTTTACCAACAAGCATCAACTATTTACTATTGCTCTTTTGTTGGCACAAAAATGGCACAACGATGAGGTGTTAACAAACAAAGTATGGTCGGAAATATTACATATCTCTCAAGCCGATATCGACGCGTTGGAGATTTCATTTTTGAAATCATTAGATTTCAAGATGCATGTTACAAAAGAAAAGTACAATTTTTGGCTTAATTGCGTAAGAAGTTGTCATCGAACTGGCAAACATGAATATCTGTTCACCAAAAGACATGAGAAAATGGGCATACTCCTATCACCTTTACCAAAATCTGTTTTTAATTATGATGCAAAGGTTATTAATCCCCCTGTTGGATTCGAACGTCACCCCATTGTTTCTCACTATGAGAAAGAATATAAATTGTTTTAAGCAATTAAGATGTTAATTGATCGTTTTAATATTATATTTCGGGTTATTATGATGGTGAACCAATAATAATATAAATAATTAGCTGAAAGAAATTAGATTAGATCTTATAGCAATTTATATTTTCTTAAATAATTTTATATTTCTTTAAAAAATTTTATATTTTTCCTATTAATTAACAATTTCGTTTAAAATTATTTCTTAAATCCTTTTGTAAAACAAAATTAATTTTATCAAATTATCAAGAAAAGTAGAAAATGATAATGAATTGTCTAGAAAAAGGAAAAAGTAGGAGGCAATTAATGATATGATCTTAGATAAGAATCATTAATGTTGTTGATTTAGATAATTTTGCCACGTTGAACTTTAATTTCTGGAGGAAGTTGAAGCTTATGAATAAGCTTGAGTATTGGCATACTGTAAGAGATATGCAAGACACGATATACGATGATATATTAACGTGGAATTCGCCGAATCAAAAACTGAACAATGGAGGCCTATTTATGATCTGGTAATCAATTAATTATCTTAATCATCAATTATATTAATTGTAATTCAATTGTACTTTCAATTGTATATTGAACTAAATTATATATTATTTTACGCAGGATAGTAACTTTTGTTCCGGAACCTGCCCTCCAAGAATTATAAAATGCTGTTGCTAACTCAGCTGAAACATTTAAAGCATGGCGTAATTCCAATGTTCTCATCAAGCAACAAATTTTATTAGACCTTCAACAATTAATTAGAAGGGATATGATAAAATCGAAAAATCCATTACCGAGGAACAAGGCAAAACATTTTCCGATCAGATACTAAATGAAATGTTTGACGATAATTGGAACAAAGCATGTAATGTTACCAATTTATTAATGGGCGAACAATTTGCCGTTTCGACTAATACGGATACCTATACTGCCCAAGAACCTTTAGCTGTTATGACAGGAATTTGCCTTTTATTTTCTTGCGATGATCCCTATTGCAACCGGTAATACTATGATAATAAAGCCATCCGAAAAAGATCCGAACTCTTCTTATTTAAACAAAAGGTTTTTATTAATTTTTAATATAATTATCCTTTTAATTCGTCATATTAATAATAAAAAAAAACTAAAATATAATACATTTAATGTTTTGGTTTTATTACATTAGAAGAAAATGTAGCAAATGCTATAGATGTATGTGGATATAGTAATGCAACAAATACAATAAATACAGAAAATAATCACGATCAACATCCCACCATCCATCAAGATATCTCGATTTCCATCAAGCAAAAAAATATCCGTATCCTGAGAACATAAATCTATTACGTTTAAGTGGCAAGGAATGGAAATAAAAGTAATGAAGAAGTTACATTATTATTATCATCAAATTCGTTAAACGAGTTACCTTTAATTTCTTTATGAATTTAAAAGATTTTAAATTATTTTTTAAATAGTGTCATTGAACATTAAATAAAAATAAGATTAGTAACGAATACGATTCTCTTTTTGTATCTTGCAAAATATATATTTGCATTAAGTATGATCTTTATTTGACTGATATGCTTTTTTATGTTTTTTTCTTTTTTTGCAATATATCATAAATCAAATCTAATAATTAATATATAACAATTAAATGTTTGTTCACTTAAATATGGATGTGCACGGAGTGGAGATTGGATTATCACTAATCTCAGGATTTGTTCTTACTCGGTTTCCTTCGCTACAGGAAGTTATATGAAACCCAAATAAGGTCATCTTTATGGACATTCTTAAATCTGAGAAATTCTTTATGTCTTGCTATTTATTTTTGAATTGGTGGGAAGACAAAAAAGTTGAACCGCACACTCTATGATTATAAAATTATATTTTGATCTTCTTCAAAACAAGAACCATCTAAATATATCGAGATGGACATTCAATGAAAGTCTATCAACCAGGAAAATACAAGTAGCATGAGCATAAATAATAATGAGTTTTAAATAAACTTCATTTTTTATTAATTATAATTATTATTTATTTAAGAAATTGTTAAGCGTTCATGTGGTTGATTACAAAAAAGGCAAATATAACGATAATAATCACAATTATAATGATGATAATAATGAAGATGATAACAAAAATAATGAAGAAAATAAAAATAATACTATGTGGATGCAAATTTTATGGATGTGTAATTATAAATCAGAATGTTTTTAAAACTAATTTTTATTATATTTATTTTTTTTTTTAAATTTATAGGATGATGAAAGTTAGGGTGGAATGATAAATTGTCTAATTATAAGATGATGGTCTATTTGTCATGCTAGCCAATGTCATTAGTAATAATTCTTAATCTTGAAATATTTTTTCCTTCTAAATTTAACCTTAAATATCCATGGATTCTACACCAATGAATAAAATACTTAAAGAATAAATTTATATTATATCAGAATTTGAGGTCTTCGTGAAACTTGGTTTAAAGAATATTATTACCTTTCAGTTTATTATATTAGTGTTACAGACATTATTCTTTTTTAAAAAATATTTCTTTATGTTGTTAGATGTACGACTTTTTTCAGTCGATTTTTATATTATCTTATTATTATTTATTATATATTCCTTTATCGTAATATAGAGGATTTTTTTTTGTGTGTTTTCTGCTTAAATGAACATTTTATTATGTAAAATCTTTTCCGCCTAGTAAAAAATTACAGTTATCAACCCACGCAAACATTCAAGCATCCAGTAAAGTCAGTGCAATGAAGCTCAAAGCAAAAAAAAAATTAGATAAAATATTTTAGATAACTTCTCTGTTCGGGTAAGTTTTAGAGACAATTAGTTATAAAAATTAATTGGATGACAAATTAATTATAGTCACATACAACTACACTCTTGAAGTCCGTTCCGTGTAAATAAGCAAATAAAATAAGTAATAATAATTGAACCGAAAATAATATACATTCACCTAAAATAATAAACATCTCTAATCGGATTTATAAAATATTTAGATTTATTATTATCTGTTTTTTTTATTACAAATTTTTAGTATTATTTTGTCAATTTTTTGTTTGCATCATAATGTCTTTTCTATACATTGCTTAAGACATAATTCGACGATTAACTAATATGTAAATAAATGTTATTTACTTCGTAACAACTGGAAAAATTTAACTGCAAACCGGGATTACAAGAAACAATAGTTGAATACTTATTTACAAATTAAAAATATTTATACATTAATAGTTATTCTTATTTTAAATATTAACAAATTTTTTCACTTGTAACTAATAACAAAATAATAAAGTAACAAAAAAGGATATTTCTCTAATTGCCGAAATTCTTTGTTCTATAAATAATGAATGCTTAAATTGCTCTCGGTTTTAAATATAAATTTTACTTTAAATAGATTATTTATTCTTTATTTATAAATCAAATTTCACTTTAGTTATTAACGCAGTTTGTAACCAAGTAAAATATTGGCGATATAAATTTTATTCATTTCATCATGGCTTTATTAGATTATTTGTGTTACTGTAATATTTTATTATCAACTCGCGATTAAAATATCATGATTGCAACATCATCACAGATTTTTTTAATTATATAAAATAGATTTTATACAATAACGCTTGATACATTATTTAACTTTATTAACCTTTGCCAATCAATTTAAATAATAAATAAATAATAAACCCTAACCACTGTAGTTGAACTATATTCTATTTAGAATTAAATTAACAAACAATAAATTATAAATTAGTTAATTATTTATTTTTTCATTTCAATTATATTAAAATTAATTTTAATGAATGAAATATTGAAAAGAGTTTGGCTTTAGACAACAATATTCAAAGACATATACTCAACGTGAAGAAAAGCAAAAGAATATGATTAATAAAGATTCATCTCTCAGAACAGATAATGAAAAAAAAATTTTACTTGATGAATTGCAGGAAACATATGAAAAATAATAGGAAATGGTAAATCATTGTAAGTGTGGACCAATGTTAATTGACAATAAAGTTGATTTTAATTAATTAAAAATAATTTAAATTAATTATATTTAATTTGGTTAAGTTTTACTTTTGAATAGTTATTATTTGATAGATTTATTAAATTATGAAAAATTTTAAACCAATACACTATATTTTTGTACTATTAATAATATTTTAAATCCAAAATAAAATTTAAATAAATTGATGACAGAATAAATATTTATTTTATATTAATTTTATTGCTTTGTATTTAAAGAATCTATTACAAACATATAAAATTATTTTGACGAATCTATTATTTGCTACTATGAGTAGATTTAATCCTACATATTGTCCCAAATGAATACCATGTGCCCATCAAATAATTAGTTGCACACGTTACTTAAAGTACCCCAAAATAAAAATAAATTAAACTTAAAACGTATCATAGTCGTCAAACATGGAAATTATCAAATAATTGCCCTTGATAAATGAAAATAAAATTTTCTAAGAAAAAAATTTATTGATTGAAAATTATTTCCCTTTTCTGAGAAACCCGAAATAATCTTATTATTGCCACTTTCAATGTAAAGACATTAATAATGATGGATCATAAATATGGTATAGTGTCATGGGGCATATTATAATAAATCAGATCTGATGTCATTCAATTATCATATTATCATAATTATCATGCATGTTTTGAAATTTCTTCAAATCTATATTTAGAAAAGATTTGATTGAAATAATTTTAATAATAACGATAATGAAAATTTTTTTTTTGACATGATACAGCTTAATAATAATTATTTGTTCTTAATATTTATATTATTTAATATTCGATGAAAACTTTTGATTAATTATTAGACAACTAAATATAAAAATTTATTAAAAAAAGTAATATGCTTCAAATGTTATGATCGTAATATTAATAATTTACTTAAAATAATTATATGCTTTCATATTCATAATATAGTGTAATTATAATAATAAAATTCATAGTCATAAGCATAATCGTAATTAATTTTATTAATTTTATTGTTTATATTGTTTATCAAATTAAATTAAATTATTTTAAATTATATTAAAAAAAATTTTTAATTCTTTTCGAATGTAATGTTACTTGATTCTTTAAATAAAAATATTTGTTTGATAAAAATTCATTAATGATATTATAATTATAATTTATAACACGTTTTATCAATGAATAAAAGTAAATGATATAAGCCAATATTATATATATATATTTATTAAAATAAAACGAAATAAGAAAAAATAAGAAAGATAAAGAAAAAAAATATTTACAAAAAAATGAAAATTAAAAAGATATAAAATATTTACAGAGAAATGAAATGAAAAAAAAAAAATATTAAAAAAACTAAAATTAAAAAGGAATATAGAAATCTAAAAAAGTATGTACAAGAAATCTTTAAAATTGTTTCATAGAACATTTTTCGCAACTATTTTTATATATGTGATCCTTTTTATGACATTTTGTAGCTGTAGTTCTTAATAAATTGTTGTTATTTTTGGATTTTTTGTTGGGATTTCGACAATAAGGTCCTCCATCCTTTCTATATTTAATAAGTCTTCTAATAATTTTACCATTTTTTTCGAAATTTACATATGTTTTTTTTCTTTCAAATATAACCTCTTTTATTTCATGAACTTGAGGTTTGAAATTCGAAGGAAGATCATCCACAAAGATGTCTTTTTGGGGGCTTATTTCCATTTGATAATACTTAAGAGTATTATAAGCCTCTAAACTATGCTTGTTGATTACATATTTACTTCGCTCATCTGAGTCAAAGTATTGAAGGATTTCAATCTAAGTATCAATATTAAGTTTATTCATTTTTTTTGCTAAAAAAAAAGAAATGAAAAAATTAGTAAATAAAATACTAAATAAGAATAATGAACTCTAGCAAAGATGCAATCAATGGATCCATCTGCCTTTATGAACAACATAATAATTAGGAAAGGTGATTGCTCAATTTTTCTAATTATTATATCATTCTATTACAGCGATTCAATGTGCTGGGCACAAGCTCACTCTGTAACAGAGGTCTTTCTTTCCCAAAGAAATTAACTATAAAGTCATTGTCGAATACAAAATTCTTACCAGTAGATGATTAGATAGATGTGAGAAATTTTTTTCAGAAGATTTGAAATTTGGGTTGGATAAGTTTTTTTTCAGTCCTTTATATACATGAAAATTTAGATATGACCCCTATTTTTTCGCGCCTGTTAATATGCCCATTTTTTGTTTGTTTTTTTTTTTCTCAAGTTTTCATTTGATTTATTTAATTATATAATTTTTTATTTGAAGTAATTTTTTTTTTTATATAATACAAATTATGATAGTAAAAAAATCACTATAATCAATAATTATTATCATTTAAGTCATGAGATATTAATTACCAATTTAATCCAAGTCAATAATATATGTTAATTATTGTAAACCTAATTCTTATGATCATAATCATAAGATAAACTTTTAACAATAATCATGTTGATCATGCATGTCATAATTATTTCAAATAAAATTTTTTTATAGCGCATGATATAAATTCAAAGAAATAAATTATTCTTATTATACTTTTATTTAATATATATACTATTTCATATAGCAATAACACAACAAATATTATCAAAAATCAAAAATTATATTGTTTACTATTTAATGTGTGGGCTTAGACGACCACTTTTTCATAACACATTTACAAATTCCAAATTAAAAATCAAACAATAACATGAAAAAATTTTAAGATAATTTTTAGATCCGATGCAATTTATTATACTATTATCAATAAAATATACTGTAATATAAATAATTTTAACAATTATTAGGCTATCACTTTTTTTTTTTTTATGACACATTTCAAATTACCAAATTTGGTAATTTCAAATGTGTTATAGCCTAAGCCCACATCGAAATAGTAATCAATATATTTTTAATTGTTAATATTATATATGTTACAAAATATTTAATAATTTTAATAGTATAACAGATGTCATGTTATTATTTGATTTTCTAATTGTTAATATTATTTAAATTACAGTATAAAATAAATTTATTAAATATACTGTAATATAAATAATATCAAATTTATTTATTTTTTTTTAATAAAATATGCAAGGCAAAAAGAAAAAAATGATTTATTTTAATTTTACATTTTTGTGTACGCATTTATTATATAATTTATAAACCACAAGTATTATAGGCTAAAATTCTATACAATGTCGCCGTTTATTTAATTAATTCATATTATTAATAATATTATGTCATTATTAAAATGTATGTTTTACATAATTTAACTAAAAAAGTTCGGAATTCAATATTTGTATTTGCCTTTTTTTTTCTTGCAAATTAAGAATCTGTATTTTTATTTATTTACGTACAGAAGATATAATTAATTACATCTGATATATAAATATATTACACAGATGATATAAAAAAGTCAATTAATAATTAAGTTTTAATTCCGTTGTATTAATATTTATAATGCAGTGTAGCTGAGTTTGCAAAAATTATTAATACTTTTAATAATAATATAACTATCAAATGAGGCAATCATTTTATTCTCGGGCATATAACATGTGTAAATTTTGTATATATATTTTGTATTGAATTTTAAAATCATAGATATGCAAGATTTTTATTTATTTCGTATTCGATATTGCAAATAAGTTTTTTTTTTTATTTTTTTTTAAATTATGAAAAAACTATTGTAATATTTTTACTTTTAATCTAATCTATATTCGGTGATAATATAAAAAATTGTTATAAAAATAATAATAAAAAATAGTTGAATAGGACATACTGGATATACTTATACACAGTTCAGATAACATATTTAGTTTCATAAAAGCTGTTATAAGTAAATCCTCTATGATAGTTAATACAAAAGGTTTTGCTAATATTCTGTGCCACAAAAAATTTTATATAAATGACGTACGATCATGAATTTATAATAACCAATATATATGTACCCCTCAAATTTGTTATAATATTAGTATTCCCAAAGTACCCATGACAAAATGCATGATCATGGTAATTATTCAGAATCTTTTTGTATCAAAATGAAATACTTGACTTTCAACTGTTTTTAGAAATTCTTAATATAAAAATTTTTGTTTCGGTGAAATATTTTTTCTGTTTAATCAATAAATATAATGCCATTTTGATGGATGACTTTGGTTTTAATATTTTGATAATAAGTAAATGATAATTTAATTAATGAAACTGACTCTATTTTTATCAACATTTTATTGTCCCTAATATTTTATTTATACTAACAATTTATTATTTTTTCTAACGAACCCTATTTCGATTTCAACTAATTATATAACTATTCGCTTTTCTTTTTAATACTATTTTCACTAACTCCTTTCTTTTTTTTTAATTTTTTTTTTATTAATAGGAATGGCTCAAATCCTGATTATTTGTTTCGATAGAAAACATTTACTATTATTTTTATTTTCTCAATGTTCATGACATGCTTATAGCATATTTATAACACATTTATTTCAAAAGTAAAATTTTCGAAAAAGGTTATTTTTTATAAATGTATATCTAATAATATTTATTAAATCATTATTTTTTCAAACCAGACAGGATCAAAATAGCCCTTAACATATTTTTTTGGATGACACAGGGAACGCTAGACGACATTGAAACACTGGGGCACTGGAAAACACCAGACAAAACTGAAATGATGCGCTACTGGAACAACATTGGAACACTGGAAAACTGGAAAACTGATAGCACTGGAATACTTAGCAATATTGGACAACACTGAAACATTGAATACTAACTTACTTAACTATAGTCGGAAGAAACAAGAATTCTATTTCATAATACGCGTGGAATAAATGATAAATTCTTGTTTACTCGTGGAATATAAAAGTTACATAACTTTTGTTGTCTCAATGCTTCGCTCTTATAATTTAACTATTTAGTTATGATACAGACTTTAGTGTAAAAAAACTAAGATTTACTGCTTTAAAAAATACGTAAAACTTTTATTTTATTTTATTTTTTTTTGTAAGTTCTATAGTCTACACTCAGTAGTATTTATAAAATAAATTTTAAATTTCTTTTCGACATCTTTTTAAAAAGGAAACAAAGAGTTGTATGTATATTTTTAATTTTTATTTTATTTTTATTTTATATGATAGGGATTTTAAAAGAAAAAATGATGAATAATGAATTGCAATTGCTACAAAAAATAATAGTACCAGTGATAGTCTTTAGCTTCGCTATAATTAAATGAATTCTCAAGTATTAGATAAGTTTATAAATGTAAGGGTTCAGAGTATATTGTTTCACGAGAAATTCGAATAAAGTAGATAATGAAAGTGAAGATTTAAAAGGATTATTATGAAATTAACACTGGAAGTTGGGTAAGTTTTATCATTTTTTATTCATTTTAAGCAAATATTTTTTTTTATTTTTTTATTTATTTATTTTTATTATCATATCATTTATTAACAAATATAAATCATATACAATACCTTATTTTTGTTATTGAAAATATTGACACCTAGAAATAAACAATATATAAAAATTTATTATTGTCGTGGATTCAAATGTTTCTGTCATAGTTGCATTGCTAAATGCAAGAATTGGATATAATAATCAACAAAGAAGGATCAAAATATAAAACATTCTGGATGAAAAATTAATACTCTTTGGAAAATAATTTCAATTTTTCTTAATTTATTTTTTTTTTTTTTCCATTCACTTTAGCGTTATATATAACTGATATTTTAATTAATTATTTAATTTATTATTAAAAAAGCATATCTTCTAAAAATAACTTGTAAAATGATATATTTCATTAGTAAAATTTAATTCTATTGTTATTATTTAAAATTTATTAAACTTAAAACAATTGAATGTCAGTCTTTGAAATTTTTAGTTTTTAATCATATAGATGATCTAATAATTTCATTCAGATGGCTTCTTTATATTCTTTGAAAATTCTTCATTCGGAATATTTTCAACTACTTTGATAAAATATCTAATACATGTCTATAATGTTTTATCACGAAATGAGTGCTCTGCAAATTTTTACGGCAAATAAATTAATGTATTCAATTTGTAAAGATCGATTAAAATCTTCGTCAAAAGTTCCATCCCGTCATGTGATGAACATCTCCTCGAGATCTTATAATTCTTATAATGAAAAATTCGATGAATTTTTTCACAAATTTTAGGAGCATCTTCATTTCCAGGATCAATACTGAATCCAAATCTTCATATTTAATGATTAATACATTTAAATGAAAAAAGTAAGAATAAACTCTAAAAGCGTAAAGATGATATCTTGTGTGAAATTTATTAAATCTTCATATAAATTTTTTTTAAAAATTCTATCTTATTTTGGCTGAACAAATCCATGTATAAAAAATTTATTTCGATTCAAATTCATAAAAAAAAAATTAATTTAATGATAAAAATACAGAAATATTATGAACATAATCTTGTCCTTTATGGCGTGAATTATATTCATATAGTGTCATTAACTTTTAAAAAATATTTTCTGATTTCTATTTATTTACAATTTTTCGCCACTAATAATAATAATAATGAAAAAATTTAGAATAATTATTGGTAATTCAAAGATAAAAATTTGTAACGTTATAAAAAAAAATGAAAATAAAACTTTATTTGAAGATTTGAATTTGGTTCAGCTAGATTAGAAATTTTTTGGTCTTCTAATTTTCCTCACTATAGTACACCATGTCTTTGTGCCTATTTAAATAATATTTAGTTGAGTATAAAATAAATTAAAAGATTTTTTTTAATTATATTTAAATGCAAGGAATTTTTGTTCTTTCTTTTTTTCACGTCTTTCGTCAGCTCTTTGTTGATTATCGCCGAGAATAATAATTTAGAAAAAATTCTTGAAAGTAATTTAGGATTGAAATAATTCTTGCTGTTTTTCAAGAATTTTTTATAGGTTTCATTCTCTCCCAAATGTCCTCACATGGGAATATGAAAATATCTAACATTGCTACCGAGTTATTTAGACATTCTTTCGAATCAGCAGGTAATGTAGGATTTTGCACAATTCCCCATTTATTACCATAATCCAAATTTTTAATTTCTTCGACATTAAAGTCATCTCTTTTCAAATAGAAATCAATACTTTTTCTTTAAGTGAAGTGAAATCTTTGAATAATATATTATAAGATTTTTTCAAACCCTTGAATTCATTACTATTATAGATTGAATACCGATTCTAACAATAGTTATTCCAATCAACTTCTACTATTTAATCTGAATCAACCACTATTTTTAGTGTTTCTTGTGATTCATGCATAATTGATTCTTAAGTATAAGTTATCACTCATACCGCTATTGGTCATACTTCAATAAACCTTTTTGTGTTTTCGTATTAGAAACAATTCGTTATTTATTTTCAAAAAAATAGAAAGATATTTTATTTAAAGTAAAATAAGTAAAAAAAAGTGGTAAAATAATAAAATGATATAAAAGAAAAAAAATTATAAAAATCTTTAATAAAAAAATTTCAAAGATTTATAAACTACTAAAGGATAATTAAAAAAAAGTGCGACTTCGAAATGATGTTTTAACAATCTTTAATAAATGAGAAATAACATGTGATTAATTTTTGGCTGAAGAAATCGCAGCCATTATAGCACAATACAACTCATCAGCTGCATCGGAATTGGATAACTAAAGAAAACAAGATAAAATACAATAAATAAAGATAATAAATATAATAGAAATATAATAAAACAGAATCACTAATTACAAACCTTTATAGCTAGATGGACAAGTTTATCTTCATATGCAAATAATTTTATAAATTTATCCTGCGATCTTTCGATGTGCATTCCATGAAATAATATAATATTTAATATCACTTTGAAGACATTATCGGTACGCATAACTATAATTTTTTTAAATATTCATTAATAATAAAATAAAGGTAAAAGCAATCAAAATCATAAATTTATATTGAAAGTTTACCCAATCGAGGTGACTTTTCATTATCTTTCGGATAATTAAGTCTTAATGTTCCGATACCTCTTTCTTTCCATTCTCCATCCAAGCAATATAATTTCGCTTTTACGAAGTGTTGCATAATCTCTTCTTCCTCCCCAGTTAAGACTAAATTAAAAAAGAAAAAAATATTTTTATTTATTATTACTATTATTATTATTATTATCATCATTATATATTATTATTGTTATAAATATTTGTACCTTCTTGTTCGTTTAATAAAGGTTTTGTTTCGGACCGAAAAGAACTTTTTTTGCATCTTTATCATTTTGAGAATTCTCCACATCAAAAATCGAGATAGTTTGTTTTTTTGAGCTTAACTAGAAAATGCATTTCCAGAGTATTCCGTTTTTGATCCGAAAATATTTTTGTTTAGAGTTGAGGTAGGAGACGTCGCAACTTTTCGTTTTTTGTTTGGTGTTGTATACAAATCGGAAGGTGAGAGTGGTCTGTCTCTTTTCATTTTGAATAAAGTTTTTGTTAAAATATATAATTATTTGATTAAAATTTATTTATTTTTAAATGGATAGATTTTTAAAACTATTAAAGATTACTAGAGAAAGGTATAGTGATGCGAGATGATGAGGGAAAAAAAAATGAAACCTGATAAAAATTGAACCCATTTTATATTTATTTGATGCCCCCTATTTTTTTCATTATTTGACATAATTATTTTTTTCATTAACTTCCTTTTTTATCATCCTCAATAAAGGAGAATATATAGTTATCATAATGTATATTATGCATACTATAAAATTTTTTAGTAAAAAAAAACTTAAAATTTGTGTCAGCAGTACATAAAATAAATAAAATAAACTATTATTTTCCTTTTTCATGTAATCAATTAGATTTAAAGTTTCAGTTTATTTATATTATTCTTTTATAGAAAAAAAAGCTTGCGAATCTTCAAAATTAATTACATCAGTATGATATAGAATATATTTTTTGTAGGATATGATTAACGCAATATACATAGTATATTCAAAAAATGATTGGTTAATGTCTTATAATTCTTGCATATGTCAAATTCACTGTGTGCATGATCTTTTTAATTAATCAAAAAAAAAAGTTTTAGTTAATTCATATTATTCTTTTATGAAAAACGCTTACAGATCTAAAAATACTTACATCAGATGTTAACAATATCATTTGAATATATTTTTCGTAACATATGATAATGTTGTAGATGCATATCTAATAATTATTTGTGGCTTAAAATTAAGCAAGGAATTTGTTTGGTTCACGATAATGATTTTATGTAAAAACTGATGATCTATAGTCAATTGTTAGAAAAAATTCTTGGCAAAATATTTTTGATTAGATATTTTTATCAAATAAAACTTATATGACATCCAGTGTGTAAATGAAAGGAAAAATGAAAAAGATGACGATGAATGATCAAAACAATAGAATTTCAATGTGAACAAATATTATAACAATAAATTAATAAAATGAAAGTTCGATTGGACATGACGTTTCTTTTATTATAACTGATCTTCAAGTGATTCGCATCCCATCATGTGATGAACATCTCCTCAAGATCTTAAAGTAAAAGCACAATTCTAAACATTTTGTTTATATCACTAAGTGTTTATCTAAAATCGATGAATTTTTTCTCAAATTTATAAGAATATTCAAATTGGTGAAATTAAAATATATTCAGTTATATCCATATTTAATGATTAATAATTAAAGAAAGGAAAAAACTAAAAGTGTAAAGATGATATCTTGTGTGAATTTATTGAATCTTGATTAAAAATTTTTTACTTTGTGATGTGAATTATATAATATATATAGTGTTATTTTACTTTTTTAAAAAAAATTTTGATTTCTATCTATTTACAATTTTTTCTAATCACTTCTTCACTAATAATAATATAACGAAAATTTAGAATAATTAAAGGTAATTAAAGATAATATTTGCAATGTAATAAGAGAATATTGGAAATTAAATTTGTTTGAAGAATTTGAATTTGGTTCAGCTAGATTAGAAGTTTTATGGTCTTCTAATTTTTCCACCTCTTTTTGTACATCAAGTTCTTGTGCCTATTTAATAAAAATAAATAAAATATTTTTTTTAAAGCAAAAATTTTATGGTTCTTACTTTTTTGAACGTCTTTGGCAGCTTCTTGTTAATTATAGTCAAGAAAATTTCTCTAAACCATTCTTTCAAATCAGTAGGTAATGTAAGATTTTGCACAATTCCCATTTATTAACACAACCTAATTTTTAATTTCTTTGACATTCAAGTCATCTCTTTGTGAAATAGAAATCAATGCTGTTTTTTGAAATGAAGTGAAATCCTTGTATTTAAAAATTAAATTTGGATATTTCACAATAGTATTATTTTCAAACCCTTGAATTCATTACTTTCATAAATTGAATAACGATTCTAATAAAAGTTATCCATTTATATTCAATCAGTTTCTACTATTTATTCTATTACATCAGAAATTAACCACCACTCTTAGCATTTCTGTAAAATTGATTCTTCAGTGAATTATTGAGACTAACTAAATTAATCATTTGGGATGAAGTTTCTATAATGAACCGTTATTGCATAGAAGCTTTAGATTGAACCTTAAAAGATTTAACAGATTGTAAACTCCCGTTCGGTGAAAAAATATTTGTCTTTGGAGGAGACTTTTGACAGATTTCACCTGTAGTTCCTCAAGGGAATCATTTAAAATCTCCTCCTCTGTGGCCCAAGATAAAAATTTTTCATCTTTACCAAAATATGCAAATTGAAAAAAATTCTAAAGCAAAGCCAATGACTTTAAAAATTTATTATTGAGAATTGGAAATGGAAATGAATAGACTATTAACAATAACTTAATCTGTATTCCTGACTATATGATAATTAAGTGGCAAATGAAGATACTTTACAAGCTCTTATAGAATCAACATATCCATCCCTTCAAACTAACTTCACAAATATTTCTTATTTTACTGACAGAGCAATACTAATGATCAAAAATGAATAAGTAGATTATATCAATGACAAGATACTAGACAAACTACCAGAAAATGTTATAATGTACTGTAGTTTTGATTTGGTCACAAATGATAATTGCAATTTTTATCCAAAAGAATTTTTCAATTCAATAATCTTGAATAACATTCCTTCTCATAAATTACACTTTAAGATCAATATCCCTATTATATGTCTTCAAAACTTAGATCTGTTAAATGGTTTGTGCAATGCCAGATTAATCTGCTGAGCATTTAATACTAATGTTATAAAAGTGGAAATAACAATAGGCAGCCATTAAAAAAAAAGAGTATTTTATTCCAGATATTATTTATTTCTTTAAGTAACATCAAATTTCCATTTATACTGTCACGTCTGGACAGCACACAACAGAATTACACAACAAATCAAGTTCCCAGTTACAATAATAGCTTACACTTCTTCATGTATTGCTATACAGTGTAACAACTTTAAACAACAACTACAAAATTGTAAATATTATCTGAGAGGTACATGAGCAAGTGAAGTAGAGGTAGTTTTCCCTATGTATACTATCAATGTTAGAACAGATTTATAAGTGATGAAATGTTTATTTATAATTAGACAACCAAAAAAAAGTGTTAGACAACAAAATATTACAATGGCATGTTTCTGTTACTACTTCTATTATTTACATGAATATTATTATAAATATTGTTATAATTACTTAATAAAATAGAATAAAATAAAATAAAATAAAGAGGTAAAATATCAAATGTTGCTATCTTAAAAAAAATGTGCCATTCAAAAAGGAATCCTCTTTTCTTCCTCTTGCTACCACTACTTTTATATTTCTTTCTCCTTCATCATTCCCATCATTCGTACTTCTCTATTATTTCCATTATTGTGCAACTTTATCATTTCCATCATTATACAACTCCATCATTTGCATTATTGTACAACTCCATCATTTTCATCATTTGTATTTCTCCATCATTTCTATCATTTGTGTTCCCATACCACATGTTTTCTGTCCTACTATCTTCATACCATCTTATCAATCTTTTGCTGTCACCACAATATTAAGACAAAAAAAATTTCCAATCAAACTTACTTTTGCTCTAATGATTAACAAATCTCAAAGTCAGACCATACTGAATGTGGAAATTTATTTACCTGAGCATGTTTTCACATATGTTTAACTTTATGTAGCTCTTTCACAAGCCTGGTTCTACTTTAATATTAAAATATTAATAAAAAATGGTAATTTTTATAATAAACAAAGCGTCTATACATTTAATGTTGTATTTAAAGAAATTTTATCTTGAAATTTATAATAAAAAATAAATTTTAAAATTTTGTTTATTGTTCAAATGAAAAAAAATCAAAAAAAAAATTTTTCATTAAAATAAAAACTATAAAATATAATAAATATAAAATAATTGCAGGACAAAATAATGAATTACTACAAATATATTTACTAATTTAATAATATATAATATATAATTATATTTAATATAGATATATACATATATATATTATTTATTTAATTTAATATAATTATGATGACATAAAAAATAAATCATCACTATTGTAATAAAAAAAATCACTATTGTAATAAAAAAATACACAATTACTCTTTTTCTTTTTTAATATTAATAAAATTTGATGTCAAGTTACTACACAAAGACCTTTCCACACATTCCCTGCCTCTCTATGTAAATTCCTTTTCTTACTTTCATTATTCACACCAGATTTTTTCATTTTTTTCTTTATCAAATTATCACTTTCTTTTGTAGAGGATTCATAATCTGTACATTCAAGACTAAACAAGTTTTCACCAGTAAAATTGTCAGAATTATCAATATGTACACATTTTGCTGAAGAACAATTAGTCAAATCTGTTCTAATTTCGTCATGAGATCATTTAAACTAGTTAAGATTCTGTCTTCTAACTTTTTTTTCAAATTTTCAGTGATATTCTGATGGGTTGCTAAAAGTTTAGTTTGTATTGAATTCTTGGATGTCAAAAAATCTCAAAGCAAATTACTGTCAAAAAATTTCTTTCTATTAACAAAATGTGTATCAATGAAATTAATATCTTTAGCATATACATAAAATTTATTATCAATTATTTCCATCTGTTCAACTACAAAAATTAATGATTCTTAAGGATGAATAATATCTTTTAAATGTGATAAATGTAAGTTATGAACCAAAAAAACAATTCTCATAAAAAAATTATATTCTTGACTGGAATAATCAGTAACTAATATGTTAATAATGGTACCATCATTAATCTCACTAGGATTTTTTGAAAAATTTTTACCAGAGATGCTTTCAAAGAACATTTGTTAGATTTGATAACTTTATTGAGAATTGTCAGATATGTAGATGTCAATATTTTTATCTGATATATATTATTAAATAAAATTTTATACCAGAAATTGATGCTCACAAAAAAAAAATCACACTATGACAGGCACCTTTGCTTTTCTAATTCCACTATAAAATCCTGGTACAATTTTTTTACCAATTGAATAAAATTTATTTTTTTTAAAAATGATTAGCTTCAAAGAATATTTAAAAGACTATTGAAAAGAATGATGTGAAAAAGTAGTATTATGGGAAACTGAAATCAATATTACAAACAAACTAAAAAGACAAAAAAAGGGAGAAAATTTTTATAACAGCAGGAGAAAAATGAAAAGATGCAGTGATAAGAACATTGATAGCAGCTCAGCATCAGTAGAATCTATTGGGGGAAATATAATAAAATTGAACTAATAGAAAAAAGTACAATGCATAAATTTAGA